CTTCAACTCCCAGAATTCCCCAGCCGGCACATGGTTGGCTAGCCCAGTGTTTCTCAACCTTGGCACCTTGAAGATGTCCGGCCTTCAACTCCCAGAATTCCCCAGCCGGCACATGGTTGGCTAGCCCAGTGTTTCTCAACCTTGGCACCTTGAAGATGTCCGGCCTTCAACTCCCAGAATTCCCCAGCCAGCGAAAGCTGGCTGGGGAATTCTTGGAGGGGAAGTCCGGACATCTTCAAGTTGCCAAGGTTGAGAAACACTGGGCTAGCCAACCATGTGCCGGCTGGGGAATTCTGGGAATTGGAGTCTATTAGTCTTATAAGTGGCCAAGGTGCGACGTCCCTGCTTTTGACCCTGAAATGAGGGGGGGAAGGAGACAGTGGAGATGCGTTAGCTTTGGTCCCCGAATTCCCCCATTTGGGGGCCCTGGGAAGCAAAATAATTACAACTAACCAAGTCAGTTGTATTTATTGGCGCACTTAAGTGCAATTGTCCTGTTTTAAGGAACGTGCGAATGCAGCCAGAGATGAGTTATATAAAAAGGACAAAATTTAGGCTTCCGCGCCGAGCGAATCGAGCCGATTACGCTTCATTGCCCGAACGGGGATAACCACGATCACGAAAAGGTGGCTTGTTCGGAGCTGCTCTTCAACCCTCTGCCAAGCCGCAGATTGTCGTAACCCCGATCTGTTGGGCGCGAGCCTTTATTTATTTACCCGCATCCCTCGAGGCACGTAAAGCCCAAGGATTGCGACTTAATGTATGACCCTCATCCGGTGCTCGGAGAACTTTGGAAGAGATGGGGAGGAGTGTGTGTGTGGGGGGGAATGGAGGCGTCCTCGTCCTAAGCCCTGTTTCTTTCTTGTCGTTTTTTTCTCCCCCCCCCCCCCTTTCCAGCATATGATAAAATACCGATATATACCGTTCACCCACGGCAAGAGGAGATACAAAGGGAAAGAAGATCCAGGGAAAACTTTTGCTAGCTAGAATCCTTCCCTCTCGAACCTTTGCTGACCAACCTTTCTTCTCCCCCAAGCCCCCCCCCCTCCAGCGTTATAATTAAAAAGATTGGTTTTGAGCCATTGTAACGACGCCTGTGTCCTTCCTAATCGGGCATCCGCCAGCCATCCGGAGGATTCGTTTCGGTCTCTTCTGCGGATTGGAGAGGTTGTGTGTGTGTGTGAGTGAGTGTGTGTGTCTGGCTCCCTAACGCCTTTCCGTGTCCACCGCAGAATTCTGCCTTTTTGACCGCATCTTCTGATATATTTTTGTTTTGTTTTGTTTTTATCTGTGGGAACAAGGCTGTTTTTTAATCCATCACAGCCTCTTCCCCCACTTTTTAAAATTTTATCCCTCCCCCCGCTCCCCCTTTGGCAGTTATCCCATGTTTTTACACCTAGGTACGTGGGTCTCTGGGCATATCTGGGATCTTGGCTTCCCAGATTTGGCTTGGCGACTTCCCAAACGAGGCCTCCTGTGTGCGGATTCCTGCGCAGGAGAATAACCAGTAGGGCAGTGGCTCTCAACCGTCCTAATGCCGTGACCCTTTAATGTTACGGTGACCCCTACTATAAAATTATTTTGTTTTCCAAAATACGTGTTTTCCGAAAGTCTTAGGCGACCCCTGTGAAAGGGTCGTTCGACCCCCCCCAAAGGGGTCCCGAACCACAGGTTGAGAACCACTGCGGTAGGGAATTTGAATCGGAATACTCTCCGGGAAGGCTGACAGCTAGTACGGAAAGGAAGAATATCCGTTATTTCTTTCTTTTAATTCTCCCACCCAATATTTCCACTGTACCTTGCTGAGAGAATTGCAATAGGACGGGGGTCCTATTCCATCCCCGCCCCTATGCGCACCGCATTGCTCGCCTCCAAGCTGAGTTTGGTACTTCCTCCGGAGCCTGGGAAGTGCGGAAAAAAACGGGCCCAACCGGAAGTACCGAAGGTTCAGCCAAAAGGCTGAAAAATCACGTGGCTGGCGCTGCACATGCGCCCCGGAACTGACAGCCCGCATCTCATAGGTTGGCCATCACAGTAAGAGGAGAATGGGATGCGATGATAGGCGTTCAGATTTGAGTAATCAGTACCTCGTTTTAAACTTGGGCGTTTCGAATTAAACCTGGCTTGATTGACGGAGAGAATCAAGCTTGGCTTTTAGAATGAAGAGGTGGAAGATGGACTGGGTGGTGTGTGTGTGTGTGTGTGTGTGTGTGTGTGTGTTGAGGTTTTCAGTCATCAACTGTTTTGTAATTCCAATTTTTTTTTTTTTTTAATTTTGGAAAAAGCCTGGAATAAAAATTACATACAGATGATATTTTGACACATTTCTCTGATAAAGGGTTTCTTTTTTGTTGTTGTTAAAGTTTGCTTCCTAGCCCAATTAGATTGGACTGGCAGGCTGAATTTTAATTTTAGCTTTTAATTTTCTACGGAGAGAAATCTAAAAAAAAAACAAAAAACCTGCATGTAAAAAAGCAATTTTCGATGCCATCGAGATACGGACAGTTTTTATGAAGCGACTTTTTAAATA